TCAGCCGTACTTCAGCCGGAACTTCCGGTCCCTGCCAGGGGTCGAGCCAAGCCTTTGTTCAATGCGCCTGCTGTTCAAACGAGCTTGCTGATTTCCTGGGTTCAAAATGTGGGATTCCCCACTCCTACGGGAGATCAACCTCATGTTTCCTATGTTAAATCGCTCGGCGGAAAGTTGTAACCTCATGGGGCCGTCAGCACAAACAACCAAGCCGCAATCCGTAGTGGATTACCAGTACAAGGAAAACCACTATCCTCTGGCAAAAGGATTGAGGATGGATTCTGAACAATCCATCTGCTGTTGTTTCTCCTTTAAAGCGGACCAGGCTATCTAGGTCCTCCAGTTAGAGAGGTTAGAATAAGGGTACCAACTTTTGTTGGTAGTCTATTTGAGTAGACCCCTCCCCCAAAAAAGGCAAAAGGGAACTATATACTGGGGGACCTAGCTATGGTTGTCTAGACCATCTTTGCACCCACTCTGCCTGCCGCCGTCTCGCTTTCTCCGATGCTTCCACCTGCGCAGCTGGCGCCGCGTATTGATCGCCTGCCAGCGGTGTTCAAAACTTGGGACGCTTCCAGCGAGTTTGGCATGCCTCCAAGAGGAAACAACTGCCACTTCAGTACAACCACGTTCATTTTGCACTGAGGTATTGTTGGGTGCGGATGAATCAACCCGTTGCAAAAAGATGAGTTTGCTTCCCTGTAAATGGGAAGCATCTCTTCTATGCATCCAAAAAAGCAAACTAAAGAGAACGCCCTGCCTGCATCTCCGGTTCCCTCTCCTCCAATGGCTTCTCAGCCGGTGCCAAAGGCACCGGCGCAGGGGGCAGAGTGGGGTGAGGCGCCCGCAGCACCGGCGGCTGCAGCGCCAGCACCAGCGGCCGGAACTCCAACGAAGGCACCCGCTGCGTGCAGAGGCGCCGCAGGCCCGCGGACGCGGCGGTCCCGAGACGCCCAAAGAGCGGCATGGCAAGTCTTTGAGCCAAGACCTGAAGAACATTCGGCGAGAGCACGTTGTGAAGAATTCAGCACCATCTTGGGGAAAGCACTCAGAAAGAAAAACAAAGGGCAAAGATGGGCCGCTGCAGCCCCTCAGTGGCTTTCAAAGAGCCATCTCATGGGTCATGTGTCAGACATTGGGCCAGTGAGAATTCATCCAGGAAGCTTCGGACCAATCCGTCGGTGCACTGAACGTCACAGAAACATCTGTGGACTCAAAGCCTCCCGACAAGGGAAGCTCACAAAGGTTCCTGTGGAAGGACGCTGGCCTGAAACCCATTTCATTCACCGGAAGTCCGTTTTGCAAGCTTTGAGGGAGTTGCTCTTTGTCATGTCCATATGAGACCGGCTAACAGACATACGGAGGTATTCTGCCGGTGGTCCTGTTGCTCAATCTGCCTTGGACGAGGAGCATGGTAATTACTTGGAGGACCATGCTAGGTTCACCATTACAAGCAAATCTAGCAACCAATGATTCCACTCAGCCTAGTTTCATCAACCATCAGCCCCTTGTTGATTCATGGGATCTAGGAAACTGTCGACATCCTTATTGAGCTTTTGACAAACTTACCAGACGCTTGAAAGCTTGGACCAAGCATTTCTATCAGAGGTCATCATGTAACTTTTGGCCACTCCCCACTGGAACCCATGAAACGGGGTGCCTGGCTTGGAGCATTTACTCTGCTAATTCCATGGCGCCTGGCGAGCTTCTTGCAACACACCACGAAGTCCTGGGATGGCCGAGTCTCGTTGGGTGTCCCTTGGATTTCCGTTAAGACCATCCAAAAAGGAGTTCCTGAATTCCAGACACAAAGATTGTTTGGGTTGTTTTGAAGGGAAGTCGATGGGACAGCTTCTCGAAACAACCATCTCATCGAGAAGACAAATGGAGGAAATTGGAAAATTGATAACTCATTCGCCGGACTTGCGGTCCGCAGGGTCGGTTTGAAGATCAAGTCCCGAACTTGCAGTGGTCATGATCTCCTCCGAAAATAAACATGTCACCACTGGAGGTCGGGGAAGTAATGGAAACCAAACAAGACCTTGTGCGGCCGGACAAGCAGAGGTATTGCCCAGAGAGTAGCAGGTCCTTTGTGCTATGCCCAGCTCGCAACATCTTTGATGGGATGCCATGTCACGAATCCAAGAAGCCCACGAAAACGCAGAGACCAGCAACTGAGCTCGATCAGAATCTTCAAGTTGACGTGCAGTCCCCAAAGGCGCGCTGCAAACATACCCATCTTGGGAACCAGCAAAGGGCTATATATGATGGATTCTCCTCGGAAGAAAGCCTCGCTTTCTGCCTGCACATCAAAGCTTCCGCAGGAACCACAACGCTAGTGGTCGCCGAGCATTGGAGACCTTCATCGTTCCACTGCACTGGCTTCACGGGCCCCACAAATTTGCATTCTCAAACACAGTTCGCAAGTTGTCGGTTCGAGGAAAAGGCGACTTTGAACGAAAATAGAAAAACTCAAATCAACAAGCCCAAATCCATCGGCTGGCAGATGCTGCAATCGAAGACCCGAGCCCGCCACAAAATTGAGTTTTCGCCTTTTCCCAGTTCCGTAAGTGGTACTTTTCCCTATCTGGTTAGGTTCCTTTTACAACATACCAGGTGGTCTTTCCTCCAAAACAGCCTACCCTCAAGGAAAGACGTACCCAGTATCACCCATATTGGCACGTTTTTGCTCCGGGATCATGGGGTTAGGAACCCACCCGCCTCCCCCTCTCGCCTGGAGGCTCACCGTCTCCGCGAGGTGACCCATGACCTGGGTTCAAAACATGGGAGCTGCAAGACACCCCTACAACACACCAAACCTGTGGCATGCGGGCATGAATATGCAAAACAGAACGGTGAAAATGGAAACATCGCTTGCTTACCGCGAACAAAACTTATGGCAAGTGGCATGACTATGCAAAAAAATGAACGGTCAACATGGAAACACCACACTTGCTGAACCCAAAAAAAGACACCTACCCACTTTTGCATTGGACCCCCCGAATTCGAAGACCCGCTTGCACCAAGCTGGACGCACAAGGTGAACCTTTGGCGGCCAAAGTGGAAGCATGGAGAACCGAAGGCTGATTCGCTTTGTGCCGGTGAAGGACAAACTGAGCCAACGTGGGGGCGCTCGTGTTACCCAAATTCTGGCGTTCACCCCTTTCGATCAGTTCCTCTTTAAAGCCAACCAAGTCCAAGACGGTTAGCTTGACACCCCTCGAAAGCAGCCAAAATGGGTTACCAGTGTTTCGCTTTCAATCCAACCAGACATGGGTTACCTTTGTTGTCCTTGCAATCTAAGACTGTTGGGCTACCTTGGTTTATCTTTAAGGCCAACCGCATATGGGGACTTATCTTAATTGGAACCAGGCACATATGGCAGGGTCTCTTCAAAATCAACTTTTCCTTCAAGGCTCACCAAATAGGGGTTGACCCGATATGGTGCGGGAACCTTTCTTCTAGGCGCGACAGTGGGTCTCTCTAGCAGTCAACTATAATGATTGGGTAGTCTTTGCTTCCATTAACAGTAGCCGAATATCGGGTTGCGAAACGAGTCGTTACTCGGCTCTGGTTGAACAAGTGGATCAGCTTCCTCGGCCTTCGAGGTCAAACGGGGGGGGGGGGGCGTCACTTTCCACCAAAAGGCTTTGGTAAGGCCAACAAATTGCTTGCCCAGATTCACAAGCTTTCGGCTTTGGACTAACCCAAAAAAGCTGAAAAACAAATACCAGGGAATGACATTTTGCAGCAGGCAGTGAAACTGTGAGCTGCGGCTGCGGCCAGTCAACAGTCACCCATGTTGCGCCCGCCCAGTCACTGCTGGCTGAGGTGCTGCATGGAGCAGCACATCCCATTTCTCCTCACGAAGCAACGCCAAACAAAAGAACGCCAACCAACTGCATTCAGCTTCCCCCTACTTGGTGGTGACGTTTAGGGCCTTCCTTTGGCTTCAAAAGGCACTGGGGGTCAACTCCCAAACCAATCCAAACCACCCATTACAAACACGTGGCTTAAACGAACTGGGATGCACAAGTGACTGGCGGTCGCAACGGCTCCCTCTGATAAATCGAGGGACGTGTTCGCTTGCACCCATTAAGTGGTTGGGGGAACGATCATATGTGCCCTCAATACATCTCAAATGAACAACGCTGCAGTGACACAGAATGTGCCGCATTGAGGTAGACCGCAAACAGCTTGCCCAGGTCAATCTCAACTTAGCTTCCCCCCAAAGTTCCCAACACATGCTTCTGTAGGCAGCATCGGATCACAGGTAAAAGTCAAATATGTTTGACCTGTGACAACATATATACGCATCGATGTAAGAGCACCATCAGGTAGCATGCATTGCAGGTAAAGACAAGCTTGTTGCACTTCATTGCGCAAAGCCACGCATCGCCTCCTTTCTCTGGACGCTTGAGGCCCAAGCCTAGGGGGCAGCCCAGGTCTAATTGCCCTCTGCAAATGAACAGAGCACCCCGACATCCACCATCGTTAAAGGAATCTGTTTTTGGCCGACCCCGTTTTTGGGTTCCATGCCAATGAATTTGTAGGTTGGGAGCATCGCCCAGAAAATTCATGAGAGGAATCTACCCCTCCTTCATTCGATCAGAAGGGTCCTTATGGATCCTTCCAGGGCAGGAGAGCCAGAGGAATCACAGCCAAACAGCACTGACTGTGGAGGGTTTCTCAATAAGTTGCAAGCATTTCACCCTTCGTTTGGACTTGCTGTTCTGATGAGCTGCCACTTTCAAGGCGGACATCCCCTTGTCTTCCATCCCCCCGTGGCTTGACAGATGGGAGTGTCTCGGGGGGGGAACCTCGTTTTCGATGGTTTCAAAAAGGACACCAAAAGGAAACCAACCAGACCAACCCGGTGTTTTGCAGGTGTTCCCATCTCTGGAAACCCTCAAATAGGCATGTGGACAAAAAGGGAGCGGCCCCCAAAATGGTGGCTTTCTCGTTGGTCTCTCAGGAGGGCCCTCAAACACCACAAACCCAAACGGAGACGCATCCTCCATCCTCAAATCCCCTCATGGACTTAGCTAAGCCCGAGCCGTCCTTCTCGAAAGTGATGGTCACCTTACGAGAAAGGGCCAGTTCGGTCATGGAACCCGATAAAACCGTCAAGCCGCCTTTTTGCAGTTCCAATTTGCCGGGAAGCACAGTGCCTGCAGGTTTTCCGCGCAACGATTCCTTTTCGAAAAGTGGCATGCCTTCTACAATCCAAAAACTTCGGGGAGATCAGACATTAGTCCAAAAAGGAACAACCCGGCACTTTTCCCAGGGTGCCCTTTCCCGGCACGTTTTGCTTTTCATGTTGGCTTCCTGCTGAAACCATCCCCAGAGGAACCAGCGTTTGTGTGTGTGTGTGTGTGTGTGTGTGTGTGTGTGTGTGTGTGTGTGTGTGTGTGTGTGTGTGTGTGTGTGTGTGTGTGTGTGTGTGTGTGTGTGTGTGTGTGTGTGTGTGTGTGTGTGTGTGTGTGTGTGTGTGTGTGTGTGTGTGTGTGTGTGTGTGTGTGTGTGTGTGTGTGTGTGTGTGTGTGTGTGTGTGTGTGTGTGTGTGTGTGTGTGTGTGTGTGTGTGTGTGTGTGTGTGTGTGTGTGTGTGTGTGTGTGTGTGTGTGTGTGTGTGTGTGTGTGTGTGTGTGTGTGTGTGTGTGTGTGTGTGTGTGTGTGTGTGTGTGTGTGTGTGTGTGTGTGTGTGTGTGTGTGTGTGTGTGTGTGTGTGTGTGTGTGTGTGTGTGTGTGTGTGTGTGTGCGTGTCTTTTGTAATAATTTGAGGCTTGTGAGGTACATCAACATGAGCTGGACCAAGCGTGGCACGAAACGTGTTTGAACCTACGCAACGCGGGCTTCTCAAACGGTAACCAGGAGAGTCAACATAAACATCTAGCTGCACTTCTACCACTATTTCCAGGGATGAGTATTCATCAACTCAACCGGGTGGCGGGGCACGGCAGATTCC